TGGTTTCGGATTGGGATTTATGGGCATACCCCGTCTTCACTCGATGTTGCTTCTTTGTCGTCCTTGAGCTCCAGCGGCACAATGAGGTTAATAAGCCGTTTCATAGACCGTCTCGCTCCCGTAATCAATTCCACTTCTCCAACTTTGCCGTCTATCCCCGCGGGGCTCGTTTCATTTGCGCAAGCGTCCAGTCCTTTCTAGGGAGAATAGGGTCGCTCACAGAACGATCTCTCCATCCTATGAGGTTCGGAGGAAATATGTTGTTTGTGGGTCTCCCGCAGACTAGTTTTGCCAGAGCACGACTTTCCACTGGTGAAAGGTAATCTGGACCTGCCGTTTGACTTGGAATTTCGTGAGGAAATTTCAGCACAATGTCAATTTGAAGTATCAGTAGGGCCAATGGAGTACGGACTTTTCTGTTCTGAACGTTGATAGGTCTGCGGCCTAGAGTTTGAGCAGGTCTCGATTTCCATCAAAGTTGTTCTGAGGTCGTCTACTGACAAAGGGGGTTTTCCCTTGAGCGATTCGTGAAGTGCGTGCTTTAAGGACTTTATCAGGCGTTGATAACTGGGTTCATTATCACTTGTGATCGCCTACAAATCTCCGCTCAGCGTTCAAGAAATTTCCTACCGACATGCTTCTGACCAGCTCTAGGCGTATCAATAGCGTCACCGCGCACGTAAATATGCACCCATATGTTTCGCACTCCTCATTTTCCTTCACAACAGGGAAGTCGCTACGCGGCCGCCTGACATATCCTTTGTTTCTTTATTAGCGTAGGGTAGCCCCTTGAATTTGCGGCATTTCGCACAGTGCTTTACTAGGTGGCGTACTTGCTGCCTCAGTTTTGGTGTCCAATACTGTAAGCGTATTGTCGCCATGGTGTGTTCGATTCCTTGGTGGTTGGGCTTCCTTCACATTCCTTCACAATAAAGGCAGCCAGACGAGTTCTGGTGAATACAAAAATAGGACTTTTGGCGTCTGCGTTCAGAATCGCGTTTCCAATACTTCCTTTTGACAGCCGGAGGAGGTCCTCGTCTTCAAAAAGGCGCAATTTATTTCCTATACATTTCCGGTCGTCCGCGAGGTGGAGAACCTGGCGGTTGCGTGTAATGGCTCTTCGAGACGCCGCTATGGTGTAACCACCGATAGCTTGAGGGTAGGTGGGGGTGTGCCTAAGTTGTGGATTGTTTCTATGTATTGTTTCTTTCCGTGCCTGGGGCAAGCGTCCCACTAGCTTTTTGACGAAAACCATCACAGGAGCCATGGCAGTTTTTTCTTTGGTCAAGGAACTGAAGCAGGATAGGTCGATCACTTGCTCTAACATCTCTTGCCCACGCTCTGGTCCTACCGCATTTATCAGTGCTGGCGCCCGGTCGTGCTCTTGCGTGTTGCCCATGCTAAGTGCATACGAAGGGACGGACCACGTGTCTATAGGGTTGCATAAAAAGTTGGGTTCCTCCCACCAAAAAGCATGGTTCAACTGCGTTCTTGTGAGACCTCAAGTACCAGCGCCAGCTGTATTGGTGTTGTCGGTACAAATTTAAAAGGCACTTGACCCCTTCTATTGGAGGTTTCTACAATGCTTCGTATTTCTCTCAGGCTGTTATTAACGGGCACTCCCAGCTTTTATGCGGCTGAATTCGATTTCAGCCAGCTTAACGCCACTTACGAATATGAGAAGATATAGGCGCTATTCAGACCCTATGCAATGTGTACCTCGAGCGCCTGGAATATTTAGTGCTAGGCGTAAAGCTATCACTAATGCATTCATTTCCAATTTTGATACAGTAGGGCTACTTTTTATGGAAGATAGCTTGCATTTTGCCATAACCAATGCGAACTGCCCACCACCAAAGATATAGGCGCATGCCGGTATGGCGATCGAGCTGGCGTCAGAAAAGCTGCCAAACTGCTGCGTTCTTGATTGCTCACGAGATATCCACAGAAAGTCTCTCAAAGCCATGTACCCTAAAATTCCATAGATAAGAGTGGTTTAACTTACCGGTGAAAAATGAATTGGAACGAAATTGAAATTGAATGCAGTCATCCTTCTTCTTAACTTCTTCTTCGATTTTTTATTTATCCATCCATCAAGTTAGAGGGTGACTGCATTCAATTTCAATGATTTTTTTCAATTCATTTTTCACCGGTAGATTAAACCGCTCTTATCTAAGGAATTTCACCGGTAAGTTGAACCGCTCTTATCTATGGAATTTTAGGGTACATTTTCACAAAGCGTATTCCAGGGCTTCTGCAGGTCTTTAGGTACTGGTGTGTACCAGCCATACTTGTGCTTCTACAAGTCTTGATGGAATCTTTTGGCTTCAATGAAAAGTGGAATGAGCCACCGAGAGGGATCATACAATGAAGCAGTTGGTCTTGCCACGATGCGTTTAGTAAGGTGTGGCGTAAGTGGGAGGTTACAACGAAGTGATAGCTTGTCGTTTCTGCTATTCCAAGGTATTCCCAAGACCTTTCGATACGCTGTGCTCGCTCGGGATTCTCGCACGAGTCCTTCGTTCACGACTGACTCTATCGTTGGATCTCGCAGATTCATACCCATTTCTGCAAGATTTTTAGGACACATCTGGATTTGTGTATCGCTTTCTCTGGGGTCTCCGCTGCTAGGATGAAACTGTCGACGTAGAGGTTTTCCCTTACCTCCTTCTTCAGTGTTTTGTCACTGCGTTGCGAAGATGGAAGTGGACTGTTGCTATTATACAAGGAGAAAGGGCGATACGTTAAGGCTGAACGTAACTCTAGTGAATCGGTAGGTAATCAGATTTTCATCCTCGGAGTCCTTTTCGTAGTCGCGCAACAAAAGAAACGCGTCGCACAGCGATCAAGTCCGTGTAGATGAGTTCAAAAGAAGGCTTTTACTACGTCTGATGTGACGACGAGTTTCGGGATTCGAAAGTGTAATAGCACAGCGTAGTGTTCAGGTAAGATAAGGGGACTCTGGTGTAAGACATCGTTCAGAGCAGGGCAATTTCTAAAATGGGAGGAAGAGCCAAAAACTATGCGTAATTCGGTAGTTTCCTATGGGGCGTGACGACCGGTTGGTGTGGGATATAATGGATTACCTTTCCGTCTTTCTTATAAGTTTCTAGCACTTCTTCAATAATGCCCTTCATCTGCTGAGTTCTGTGAGTGTCGTGGTAATCCTCGAGAAGCTCTGTGTTGGACCTCAGCGTTTTAACACGCTACTGAGGCTCTTTCGCGCGATCATTTTGTTGGAGGAAAGCGGGGGATGGTTTTGTTTCTGTGGCAGTTGTACATGATAACCATTGCTTCGTCTTTCAATGGTCTTGTTGGAAAACGACAGCACTTCTTCGTTAATTGTAAAACTTCCGGTTTGATTGCGTAGGCGTATTCACATATTCCTGCCGTGTCCATGTATTCATACGATCTGAAGAGCTTATCTTCTCTACCTGCGTGGTGTGAATCATTGATACCATACTGGGTGGGACCACAACCCTTTGCTTGAAAATGGTGGGCAATCGTTGCTTCCCAATAATTAAATGTCCGAGTTTTTAGGGGATAAGCTGCAGCCCTGATGGTATGTAGTGTATAGTGAGGAGAAGGATTACTCAATAAGCCCCAGAGCTGGCCGCAGCCAACGAGGAGTTGCGGGATGGAATTCCTGCGCGGACCTCGCCTTGAAAGCTCTAGGCTATTGCTTGTAACGGAGTTCACATCCTTTGCCCTAAGATGCGTCTCCGTTCCTCTTCTGATCAACACTGGTATTGTGTGAAAGTGCAGCGTATATTTCTTTCCGCGGTTAACCTTGAGTTCTATTCGGACGATCCCACATCTTGTCTCTATTGGTACTGTGGAACTGACAGTATAAAAATTAGAGCCCTTCGTCTTGCTGGATGCAAGGCCTAACTCGTGCGTAAGGGTCTGGTTGATGAACGACTGGTCTGCTCCTGTATGAGATAGGGTTTCGACCGCCACTCCTATCGCGTTCAACACCTTTCCCACCCCTGTTGAGAGAAGCGCGTCTTCATTTTCAGCATGTACTGCTGTATTAGCGCCATATGCGCTTGATGTGTCTGTATAAGCCGTACGTGGATTGGAATTTTGAAGGTCCTATTTTGTAAACGTCGATATGGGGTGCACTCTTGTGTCGTTCGCGTACTCGCGCGCCGTTGCGTTACTCGCTTTCTGCTGCGTGCTTGGTTTCTGAGTTGGCGTCGGATTTCGCTGGGTGGTGGAAGTTCCTGTGTTTTGTATGTTTTCCCACTCTCCGGGGACACAGAACTTGGTTGTGCTTTTTTCCACCACACGACCTGCATCCTCCTCTTTTGCAGTCCTTCACCCGATGCCCTTCTCTTATATTCCTATATTCCTTCATATATTCCCATATATTCCTTCCCAATAGGAAGTTGCTCTTTCGGTAGTGGTGCTATGACTTTACGAAGATTTGCAGAACAAGCACGCCTTGTGTGTTGCAAAAGTTATAGAAGTCCTTTTCAAAACCCGATTCATTGCCGTACCAAGCGACTCCTTGTTTATTAACCATCTCATTTATGCGCTCTTCTGTGCTGATTTGAGCGTCTACCCCCTCTACCTTGATTGCCATTTTCCACTGACTCCATGACTGTTGTCACCAACTGTTCCAGTGCCCTCCGCTGTATACGAACGCAAACTTGGATAGCACCTTCGGAGCATATCATCCGTCTGATACGACCCCTAGCTCTTGAAGCTGTGTAACAAGCGGAATTATTGTTTCCAAAAGCTTCCTCTGAGCTTGTATTGTTAAACTTTCTGCTACCATCTCCTCTAGACGGCGTTGAATAGCGGCCATTATTTGGGACAGGTTTACTGCGAGCGTATGATGTTAGCGTATAACGTATAATGTTGAGAAGGTGTACTCCACTGCGAGAGTGTAATTGTCTCCTCCGATTGGGTATCCCTTGATAAACCGACGCGTCTCACCACGTAGTGCCGATAGTAGGTAGTTGAATTGTTGCAATCCATTTAACGAGTGCTGAGAGTCCATGTTGGCCTCAAATAGTGTCCAAAAATCTGAGAAGTCACATATTTTTTCCTCAAATATCGGTACTGGGACAGATGGTAGCTTGGGTGCGATTGCATCTAGTTGGTAGGTACCCCTTGTCTGCGCTGGAGGCGCACCTGGCTCGAAAGCTGCTGCAGCATCCAGCGTTCCCATGCTTTTTGCCTCTAGTTGCAATGCGGTCCTTTCAGCGTTGCGCCTTCTCTATGTATTCCTCTGCCCGCGCTTGCTGTTCTGCGCTAAGGGGTTCCCCAGGGCGATCCAGCGCTTCGACCAATAAATCGATCTGGTCTAATACCAATCGAATTGGTCCCTTCAGTTCTACCTCGTATTCCATTATTTCCTTCCCCTGTGGCAGGGAATCACGCAGGGATCTATTATCACGTTTACCCTCATTCATATTGATCAGCCCTGGAATTAGCGAATGAGGAAGGATTCCCTTGTTTCCAGCGCCACTGGACCCGACATGGTCATTTTTCGCTATTAATTCCTTGACTGATGATTTTTGTCGAAACACGGGCAAAGATTGAAAAAACCGAATCCAAAAGAAATTTCAATCGGCTATCGAAGTGAAAAAGAGTGTTTTTCCTTTGCGTGAATTTTGCGTGAACTTTCAAAACAAGCTCAAAAGTTCCAAGTTCTAGTGAAATTCCGGTACCTTTCCACTGGCTTCCTGCTCCTTTTGACAGATGCACCATCAGAAGGGAACCTCCTGATAAGTATATGAAGAATGTATATCTTCTGTCTCTCACAGTGGTCCAGTATATGATACATATATTATTTATGCAGTACAGCAATAAACAGCACAATCGGAAGGAATATGTGCAGAACCGACTTGAAGAGGAAAACGAAAGGCGAAAGTTCTCGTCGGAACGATGCTCTTCCACCTGAAACAGACCTTCAACCTCGCAGATGAGGGAAGTAGGAAAAGTACAGGATTGCGGAGATGACGAACTCCGAGACTACTCGCCATACTACTCCGCCTTCAACTCCCGTCGATCCTGAGCACAACAACCTTATTCAACTAGATAAAAGGTGAAGAATGCTTGTGCGAGGCGTTCTGGCACTGCTGTACCATTTTCGCCGATGGAGATCTCAAACACCTAAGCCGGTATCCGTTGCCATCGTCACCGAGTTCTCGTTGGCCCGTCGGTGGTGACGTTTACCAACCTCAGCCGTACCTATGCGTCTTCTCCCTACCACATTGGCGGTGCGGATAGGGACCGAGGAGATCAAGGAACGACGGACTTACTGCTGAGCAACGAGATACCAGTGGCACCTTTGTCACGACATTAAGGGCCTACCCGCCCTGCAGTCAACTTCCCAATATGCTGTTTTGCTGTGGCGGATTCATTCGGATACGGCATCTCTTCCTTCAAACCATTTGTGAAACGTAGGTATACGCGAACGTACAGAGAACCCGGCATACCTTTCACACGCGATCCCACTTCAGCGAAGGGGAGGCACAGTGCTGCGACGACATCATTTGAAGACACTGATCCCGTGATTTTTCCGCAGCAACCATCGAATTATCACGCTTTACAAGGAGCAGGAACCTCATTTCAATGTATACACCAGCAGACACGGGTTTGCATTACACATCATGGATTTCGCAAGGGAGACATTGTCCTGACAACCAGAACTGACATCAAGTCGTGCACTGGAGAGTTCCTCGACAACGTTAAGCTGGTCAAAGTAAATATGACTCACTACAAGAGCGGACAGTATATTTAGGTCCTCTGAGAGCTTCTCGCACTTTTTGTCACTGGAATCTGCTCATCCAGTGAGCGCAGAATCAAGATGTCGTGAATGATTCCCCTGCAATTCCGTATTCTCCGCTTCAGACTTCTTAATTAGTTCAATGGTAGCGTTGTACGCAGGGAACGACTCGTACATAATCATCTCAAATGCAGGCTATGGGTCATCAGATGGACCGTTTATACATCGACGATTCATCATCGTGCGATAATAACGCCTTCTCTTCCATGACGAAGCAGAATGGCTTGTAACTACCAAACATGTTCTCGGCTACATTATTCTGTAGTTTTCTTCTTCATCATACCTTTGATAGTCCTTTACCTGTGCCACAGAGACCAACCACAGACTAGTAGGATAGCTCTGTTCAGAAATGAATTTAAGAACTGAACGAGGCCGCCAACACGAGGCTTTTGTCAATATCGCTCTTGCAACTTCCGCTGCCACGCTCTGCATTTGTAAGAGACGACAACCGGTAGAATTCTACCCACAGATTATGTCTATGCGAGCAATATTTTTATTATGTGGCACATCTATCATGAAAATTATTTATTTTACACAATTCTACTGTTTCAGTTCAAATTGTTCATGATAGATGTAGAACTTTTCACCCCGTCTCTTCCAGATATGGAGCATTCTTCCTTCAACAATTTTCGTTCTGTCCGGCTTCCTCAAAATTTCGAAGTTGAATTCAGCGATTTTGTAGTCGTCGGTGCCTTCATAGGTTTGGTTGCTCAACTAAAATGAAAAAAATTTGACCGGAATAGAGTATAATTTTAAAGTACCAGTATTCCTCTACATAATTGACGCTCATGACAGTTTTTCACTTAGGTTGATATCCACATATCTGCCATATGTTACTTACACTATGTTTACTGAATTTTGTCAGCAAGCTGCTGCTGGCACTGAGCGGAACGATGTGTTGGTAAGGTTTGATTTCAGAAATTCCATTTAGAAAATTGCCTAGGAACTGTCCACTTGATCGTTCTCTTTTTTAGCCAACCCGTTGTGACCGTTCACCTCTTTATATAGCACCTATCGAATTGAGTCAAAAATATTTTGAAAACTGAAAGCAAGCACTGACCACGAAAGTGTGTGGACCTAGCTTCTTCCAGACATCCTCGTAGTCCTTAGTAATCTCTGTAAGCAAAAACTCATCATGAATGTAAGACATTGAGTGAATTTTTAGCGTAAAGTGAGTTTCTTCAAAAACTCAAATGCGTTGTATCACGTATAGATTTGAAAAGCAAACAGGAAACCAAAGGTAGATATCTGAGGAAGTATGCAAAAGCAATGAATGACGAAATAATGTGCTAATAGTGAAACACTACGAAATCGTTAAAAATGTTGCTGTATGTATTCCTCTGATTTTTAAACGAACACCAGAATGCCCAGCAGTCTAGTGTTCACATTTCTTTGGAACAGTCAAATTGATGGGCATGGTTTGCTCAAAGTACTGGAAGTGGTGAACTTTCAGTGGGCTATACTGGCTATGGATGGAAAGAATTTAATTTATCCGAGTTATCCGATCAAGCAACTTGATGAAGACGAGTGATAACATAACAACATTAGAACAGCTGTACCATTCACCTACCTTTTTTCCCATATACAACATACATGTCTTTCTTGACAATGACTGCTTGACCATGATATAGTCTAACAGCGTTCTTAATGTTTTGATTCTCGACGGCTTTCTCGAGCTTTTCATAATACGGTTTTAGCGTCGCCTCAATGTCTGAAAAGGAATATTTTGGATAAATAGCTATACCCTTCAATAAAAGAAACCGGAGTGGGAATATTTGTTATGCTTAATTTTTGCAGGTGCTTACAAACTACATATTATTGATATTTCGGCATTTAGACAGAAACATGTCGACGAAAGGAAGTGTTGCCTTGTTTTTTTTGTTATGAAGTCGACATGTTGCAGAGCCTTTATTTTTTTTAGACCCGTATTCGATCTGTTCAGTGTAGGAGATTGGAAATCATTGACAGGCTCTGCAAGATGACTTTGAATCGATATCTTCAGCTGCTCCTTTCGGCATTACCAGCCCTAATATGACCTCCTATCCCAACACAAATTAACGGTGGTCGGATGGATGCATGCGTCGATAAAGAGAAGAAGTACGAGAAATTTCATACTATTTGGGAGTATTTTAGATAGAAGCTGGAGTGCAATCCGTAAGATATCAAAATATCAATCAGAAATAAAGCTACATCTCTATAGCGCGGTCTCGATAATATATTGGGTCTTGCTACTTTGGTTAAAATGGACTCGCGTATTAATGTCGATTCCTGTCGAGCTCTCAGAATAGGCGACACCATAGTGTGACTTATTACTATTATATGCGTTGCTATATTCTTTATTTTACACGAGCGAATTATTCCAGTAGTCCAAACAGTTTATGTCTGGCAAACCCAGAATAATTCACTGCTCTGGTCAGCTCTCATGACTCATCGCAAACCACTATTTGTACAAATTTAAGACATGTGGCAATAGTGATTGACATTTCACATTTGCAAGTATACACACTGCGACATGGTGGGGCAGTGTAAAGTGGGATCTGAAGTATTCATTAATGAGGCCATCTGAAGCAAGTGTTTTTTTTTATGGCCCAGCAGTAGAGGGCTTAAATTGTACCAGTTCAAGAGCACCTTCAGATGCGTAAGAGAAATTGGGACAACTGACCTTCAGCCGCGACATTTGCTACGATGCAAGCCAGGAATGTGAGAATCAACATTTCGAATATGACAGTTTCTTCGTGAGGGTCCCCCAATTTATAGATGGTCGCGATTCGGTAGGCTTCACTTGCTTGTACAAAAATAGATGATATGTTGTCATAGCTGACAATCCAAAAAAAAAGCCTTGTCATCGTATTTACCATCTTTGCCCATTCAGGAAAACATTGGCAGCCTACGTATCATGCACCAGGAAGAAGCCTGGTGCATTATACGTGGGCTGTCAATGTCAGAAGACTCGTGCGACATAATTAGCGCACACCGTTAACAGTACTCCGTGTGTTACTGTTGAAAAGGCTTCAAAGCAAAGGGTTGTTCACTTTTTACAATTAGCGTATCGCTGTTATTACTTCCGCTTCCCCAACTCGAATTTCTTCCGACTTCTCACCATGATGACAACTTCTTGAAAAGTGGAAACAGGCATTTATGGAGACAAACGTCTCAACTCAGAGCCTTTCACTGTAATCTAGAGATGCAATCAACTTCAAGACAACTTTTACTTTTTGCTATGTTCGGCTCGATCTACCTTTTGACTCTAGATCTTTATAATGAAAATTTTCATTCTCAAAAGGTAAAAACTTCTTTTTTTTTCATGCGGACAAAAACACTGGCACACAACAAACACAAACATATTTTATCCAGTTTGATGCTAGAACATTAAACTGGGTCACGGATACACTAAATACTTGTGCAGTTCTCCGTATCCATTTCTTGACAAAGTTAGACGCTTAT